AGCATCACCGCTGTAGACCAAGACAGTGAACATCATCACGTTGCAAACAAAAACGGTGAACCCTTCACCGTTGTCGTCCAAAACGTGGATATTTTACCACGTTTTACAACGAAAAAATTTCCAAAATACAATACTTATGAAAATATTTCCCAAAATACAGCAGTTTGAGCATCACCGTTGTAGACCAAGACAGTGAACATCATCACCGCTGCAAACAAAAATGGTGAAGGGTTCACCGTTTTGGACAAAGGAGGGGAACCCTTCACCGCTGTCGTCCAAAACGAGGATATTTTACCACGTTTTACAACCCTGGTAGGTTGGAAGTTAGGTAACAGCGACCTAGCATTCACCGTCTTGGTCAAAAGTGGTGATGGTTCACCGCTATTGTCAAGCGCGGTGATTAGGCCCCAAAAATTCCTATAAAAACCCAGCCCTCAGATTTGTCCAGCTGCCTTACAACAATTCAGTACGAAATTAGTGCCTTTTTGGTCCTTTTCTCAGTTGACTTACAGCAACAAGAAACTCACCGGGATTCGGTATGTTATAATTATGTATTGTTTACATGTTGATGTATTAGTAATTATATGTCTGTATTTAGTGAATTTCAGTTATTGGCAAATATGTTATGTTAGAGATATTTAGATGAATTATGGTATGATTGATGTTAGTTAGTTATGAAATTAGATGAATTTGGATAGTTTTCTCATGATAGATCAGTTAGTTGCGGTTGTTAATGGGTTTGGATGATATTATTTTTGCATCCCTAATGCACTAATTATACTATAGTAATCTTATTCGAGTGAAGCTAATAGTTACTTATTGTAATTTGCAGACATGGGTAAATTTAAGAAGTTTCAGCCTATTATTCGGTGGAATGGTCGGGTGACAAACACGAACTTTGGGATCGACTATGAAAATGGCGAATCCACTATGCTAAAAATGGAGTCGAGATTCACGTGGCAAGAACTACGTGACATTTGTGCAGAAATGACTTGTATGGACGGGCAAAGGAGAGTTGGTCAAATTACTTACCGTTATCCAAACATGAGTGCTATAGGAGTTATGTACGAAGAAGTTGTCATAAATGATGATGACGCAGTGAACATGATGATACAGTTCCTATCTGACAACGGGATGCGGCTTGCATAAGTGTATGTCAAGACCGAGCAGGTCGGTGAAACTCATTTTCACCAATATTCTTGTGATGATGGTTTTGCAGGAGGGTACGGCTGGGGTGGTAGTTCAAGCAACATTGGAGGAGGTAGTTCTGGAGGAGGCTACGACTGGGTGGAGGTCCAAGCAACTACGGTGGAGGTCACATGACCGAGAAGATGAGGTTGGTTATGTTGGTAACGATGATCCTCCTTAGCCGAGCTATCCATTCGCCTCCAGCGACGAGGAAAGTGAGGAAGATTTGAGATCAGTCAGTGAGGATGAAGATACGGACGATATCGAGGATAGCAAGGTGGCGTTCCGTGAGACACCAACGCCTTACTACACAGAGGTTCCATCTCAATTTTTATATAGTCAGAACGATCCCCCTGACTTTCTACCTATGCCTGTGTGTAATCCGACTGCCAATTTGGAGGTGGCTATGGCGTTCACTTTGAAAGTCGATGTTCAAGATGCTTTTTTCGAAGAAGCCATGCGGCACAATTTCGAATGGAAGGTAAAATATTCTGACACCAAACAACTACATGTCATTTGCAAAAATGCTGGAGAGGGTTGTTTGTGGCAACTGCGGGCTGCAAATATGAAGAGAAAGGGTGCCTGGGTCATTCAGACAACAGAGAACAACCACAACTGCTCCTCAAACATACTGTCCCAGGATAACCGGCAACTGAAAGCAAAGAAAGTGGCAAGAACCATTAAGCACTTGATCGAGGCACAACCAGGTATTAAAATCAAAGCTATCATGGCCGAGGTGAAGGATCGACACTCCTACACGATCAAGTATAAGAAGGTGTGGCATGGGAAGCAGAAGGCCATGGCTGAGGTATATGGTGATTGAGACGAATCGTATGCTTTACTCCCTAGATTAATGGTCGCAATGGAGGATTCCAACCCTGGGACTGTTTTCGTGCCCTGTTACAACAATGTATACACTGAGGATCAAGTTCGAGTACAGAACGAGTTGATGTTTCATCGTCTGTTCTGTGGTCTTGAAGCGGTTACACATCAACCAAAGAAATACGAGCAGAAGATGAAGGCTATCCGTCAGATACACCAGGCTGGTGCAGTATGGGCAGAAGGTCAAGATCTGCAAATGTGGACATTCCACATGGACAACGGGGCTAGATTCGGCATTGCGACTACCAACCATGGCGAGAGCATAAATGGAGTCTACAAGGGCGTTAGGGCAATTCCTGTATCTGTCCTAGTGGAAATGACGTAATGGAAGGTAAACGAGTGGTTTGTGAAGCGACTTCAGCAAGCTATAGGGAGGGAGCGTGCTGGTCATGCAATATCACTTCATGTCGAACAGGACATGCAGATGAAGGAAGAGAAATCAAGTAAGCACAGAGTTGTTCTTTTCAACCGCAATGAAGGTGTTTTTGCTGTTCAAACAGGTATCTGGGGAGGAGGTAGACGTGGGCACAATCGTCAATCTGTTACTCTACACGTAGAAACTCACACCGATGAGTGTACATGCCAAAAGCACCAAAACACAAGAATCTCGTGTTCACATGTAATGACAGTATCTAAGTCAACAACCCTCAGCCCTTACAGTTTGGTGAGTCCTTACTTCACTGAACAAGCGATCAAGAACTCGTACTCTTGCAGTTTCACCCCCCCCCTCCAGATGAAGCTTATTGGCATGTAGACAATGGGAAGTTGATAATCCCACCGTTGCACTTAAAGCGCACCAAGGGTCGTCCTAGAACCGAAAGGATTCACAATGAGATGGATCAATCACAACGTGCCAGGCGAGGTCCTAAGCGTTGCTCAAAATGCAGACAACCGGGACATGACAAGAGACGTTGCCCAGGTCCACCTATCTAGTAAGATACAGGCACAAATCCGAACCAAACCTGAGGTTGTTGTATGTTATTGTCATTTAGTTGTAATGGTGTTTAAGTTGGAGTTCTAGTATGAATCTTGTTGAGTGATTGTAATGATGATGGATTTGTGCTTTGACTTGGTACAACATTTATTTGTACACGACATGGATAGTGTAACGAAAACAAACATGACATAACTAACCATAGTAGTTTAATGAAAACACACAATAGAGCACATGACATAACTTGACAATGGATAGTTTAATGTAAACACACAATAGAGAATAAGACGACATGGATAGTTTAATGAAAACACACAAGATATAAATAAACAAAGATCAAATGGATAGTTCACTGGTCTCTTTCATTTTCTCTCCCTCGTCCTCGTCCTCCACGGCGACCTTGACCCCTTCTTCCGCTTTCTCTGCCTCCTGCTTCTTCGTGAGCCTGTTGGACTACTGCTCGCGGATTCCTCTTAACCCAACGTCTGACCGGAGTATAGGTAGGCGGTGGAGGCACAAATGGCTGAGATGGACCAGAAGAGTGGTAGTAGGCAGAAGATGTAGGCTGAGAAGGCGGTGTCTGAAAAATCGGGGTTTGTTGCTTATGGTGGAAATGAGGGAACCCTTGAGGAAACATGTCATATTCCTGTTGCGGGGCATAACTTGACGATCCTGGAGCACCTTCCATTGTAGTTGACCACTCATGATCTGGCCATGGGCCAGGCAGTTGTGGTTGCTGAGTCGGACGAAGTTTTTCAATGTTTGGCTGGGCTCTTTTCTTACTCCTCCGTGGGGGCTCAGCTGGGGGCACGATGGGCGCATCATCACGGAAAGAAGGTCGAGGCGGAGAGGGCACCGTAGGGTATACAATGACATCCCTCCTTTGCTCTTGCGTACAGCTGAGCAGGTCGTTGAAAAGCCTTCATAGGAAAGATGTCTTCCGCTCGTCCATGGTAGGTGCACTCTCGACAGTGTGCTTGGCATGTTCCAAGCCATCAACCTAATATAAATAATTAGAAAATGCAATAAATTAATCTAATCAAGTTAATTGCCATGACTCAAATCTAAGCATGTAATCTAGGGACAAAAGCATAAGAATATGACGAAGATTAAGAATTGGAATCACTTACCACTGCCCCCCACACAGCACCTTGCTTTGACACCCATCTAAGTGTGAATTTCCGATACCACACCATGTATCCATCGTGGTACCTCATTGGCCTCGTCTCGGTCTCCGGTAAACCTTGGATAGCCCAAGTCGTTCTATTCTCCCAAATGTTGATGTAGAACTCTTGCTTGCGGATCCAATTCTTTGATTTGTGTCGTAGGTCGATGGCATGGAGCTCTTTGAACCCTTGAGGTGGGGATGCTGGAATTGGTTGCTCCATCCGATACTACCTCAATGCTCGATCTGGCAGGTGCCACTCCACCATGTGCCAACAGATCAAGGGTACCTTGCACAACCACGTCTCTACATCCTGGGGGTGTCTAAGACGATGAATCTCGACGACTTGAGGTGGATATGGATCCCATGTCACCTACACTCATTAATTATTTGGATATAGTACAAATTGCAACCTAATCCACTTAAAAATTTTAAAATGATCCAATTTGACATTTTTACCTGGTTCCACCAAGGCTTATCAAACTCAGCACGATAAAACAGTAAGGAGTGCTCAGGCTGGTGGTCGTTTGTATTTGCTCCGATCCACCTTATTAAGAAAAAGTACGTATATAAGATATTTTAAAAGAATATATGTGTTGCTATGCATGTGAGAATTCACTAAATTAGCTAAATTGCATACTTGGAATGAATCTAAATTCGCTAAATTGCATACTTGGACTGTATCTAAATTCACTAAATTCACTAAAATACTAAAATTGCATACTTAGATTGTATCTACATTCACTAAATCCACTAAAATACTAAAATTGCATACTTGGAATAAAATTAGCATGTAAATTAATCTTACTTGACACCATAAGGGGGGATTTGCTAGAAAGTGTAGCTCATCATCTGGACCCCAAAATTCCCGCGGGTCTCGGGGAGCGAACACTGGAAGATGCTCCCATGCCTAGAGTTTGAGTATGAACATCGCACCTCCAGCTTGTTTCGCTCCCACATGCCTTGAATCCACCAGTTTGCCTTGTCGGGGAACAGAAATCCACCAACCAATCCAATGAGGTAGACGCGTGCATATCGCTCCACCTGATCTTTGGGGGTGTCTGGCCCTAAATTAACTTCCTGTTGGATGTGTTCAACAAGCCACGGGATTGAAACTTGCCCCGCATTGAGCGGTGGATGCCCAACCCCTTGAACGGGTGTTGTGGTCGGCATGTTGAACCCCAAATGCTCGAGAATCAACGGCCCCCAACCACCTTCGGGTTTACTTGGGTTGCCGATGATGGCCTCTCCAGTGACCGGCAGCCCGGTGAGGAGGGCAACATCTATGAGGGTGATCGTCATTTCCCCCTCGGGAAAGTGGAAGGCATGCACTTCGGGGCGCCATCTTTCTACCATTGCCGTTAGCAGATCGTTGTCGATATCAATCCGCATGAAATGCCTCAACATGTGCAATCTCGTCCTCTCTAGATAGGGCTCGAGACGAGGATGCCAATTAGGCAATCGACATGTCCCTCGATGAATGATGGGAATAAGTGATTCCTACAAAACAAAAACAAAACAAAAAATACAATGTTGTTAGAAAAAAAAACAAAACAAAAACTTTTAACCTATTGAAATAATTAAAAAATTTATACGGTACAGACAGAGTGTCTACCGGATTATTGTCTCAAATTGCATGGGAGTGATGTTGTTCTTGCTCGTTTAAATATTTGTGATCCCTTGGGCCAGGATCGATATACAAACGAGTGTCATATATCTCAGCACCCATCTATAAGCAAATATGAAATGAAATTAGAATATTTCAAACACATTTAAAAAAATATCAACAAAGGTGGAAAAAAAATTCGTACTCTCAGAGCCTCTTCGTCCATTTTTTGCCGAAAAGCTGGAGAGAGTATCAACGAAACTTTAGAGCAAAGGATTTAAAACAAAATAAAAATTCTAGTAATTCTTTCTGATGTGGAAGATCGTACTTAGCCGCAACCACAGAGCATACTTAGAACGAGACTAGAGGGAAGTAATGGAGGGAGAAAGAAGTATAAAGTGGTGGTGTGGGTTGGAATGAGGGGGGATGGAGTGGTATTTATAGGGTGGACCACAGAGCATTCCCCGCTCTGGTCCACGACGGTGAAGCAAAGCCGCAATTCTCGAAGGCGGTGAAGTGCGCGGATCGCTGACGTAGCTTGGTTTGAGGCGTCGGATCTGGGAGAAAAACCAGAATCCGTACCTCACTGCATCTTACGGTGACAGTGAAGCGTGCGGACGACAAGGATCGATGACGTGGACAACGCGGGCTATCACCGCTTTTGTGATTAACGGTGAAGTGTCCGCGCGTGTCCACGTCAGCGATCCGCACCACTTTCCCGTTTTGGACGACAGCGTCGAAGGGTTCACCATTTTTGACAAAAACGGTGAAGGGTTCACCGTTTTTGTTTGCAGCGGTGATGATGTTCACTGTCTTGGTCTACAACGGTGATGCTCAAACTGCTATATTTTGGGAAATATTTTCATAAGTAGTGTATTCTGAGAATTTTTTTTAATAACTAGTGTATTCTGTGATTTTTTCCGCATCCATTATTCTGCTATTGTGTTATCAACTTTTTCTACGGTCCTCAGCCACTCAGCAATCATTCTGAGAAGCGTCACAAATTGACACTTGGTCTTCAAAAACTGTATTGTTCCTTTCCCGCCAGACAGCCCAACAAACAGCGTGGAAAATAATATATGGTACTTGAAATTAAATCACAAGTTGTTGATGTATTTCTACTTAAAACAATTTGCCTATAAGTGCATAATAGAAAGACTTCTATATATCCGGGTTAAACTAAATTAAACTGTAATTAAATTGGACTAAACGATCTGATCATTAACGCTCCACCCACTTGCTTGACTAGAATACAGCCTAACACGAGATCTTTGAACTAAGTGGGAAACCATAAAAAAAAAAAAAAAAGTAAAACCTATTATAGTAAAAACCATTGAACCAACGAAATGATAGTTTGAGAAAGAGTTAATGGAAACAAACCACTAAAAAGTAGAATTAGTACACACTCCAATCCCTACTGATTCTTCTTGTTCATCCAAGCCCTAAGAATATGAACATTAAAGATCTTTCGCTTCTTATCAATCAGCTCGAACAAACATACGTCTCCCACAACCAATTCATTGTCCGCGCGAAACCCACCCCACCGTCTGAAATACAAAGTCTCTTGTTTTTCGCTTCTCCATCGTCTCGAGGCATCAGCACGCCATTCACCCACACGTCTCTTCTTCCCCTCATAAGCACACAACGTTACCCGTTGTGACTCTGCGGGAAAGTACTTCCTGGCGAACTTACCGGGCAGGCTCTACACACAGAGTAACAACAACAACAGACTCACAATATTTGTTTACTACAACATAAACAATGAACAAGCCGCGGTTTGATTCTTTTGCGAGTGAGAATGCAATTCTTCATACCAGGATTCCAGGAGAAACGTGAGATTTCATCATCACGATGAGTACAGAAGGGTTCTTCGGGTCGTGGCAATCGATGGCTTTCTTCACCGATTTCTTACTCTCTGGAGGCAACTCGAGGAAACTGGTACTGAACTTGGTGGACGTCTCAATTCCCGATGCCAGCAGCCGCCTCAACAAATCCCCGACCCGCCCTGAAGCAGTTCGAGCGAGTCCTTCCGCTGCGGTGAGAGTGCGGTTTGAGTGCAGGCGCGTGGAAGAGGACTGCAACATATCAGATCACTTAACGAGTTTCAGGACCGGGGAAAACAGAGAACGAAAACCGGAAACAAGAATCAAACCGCTATGGCGGAAAGCATCCGACCATGGAATAGAGGGAACCACCGCCGTTGCGGTAAGGTTCGATTGAAGACTTGAGAGCGGAGGAGAGCCTCCGGAGAGCCATCATCGCCATTGCCGGTTTGTATTCTCCTCTCTCTCTCTCCCTCTCGCCGTCTAGCTCGCAGTTCGTGACTTCGTGTGCTAGGGTTTAATATCGTATTCTATTTGGCAACTAGTTTCATCCGGCCGGGATAGTTAGATTTATACTTTTAAGTTTTAACTTTTCGGTTTCACTGAATAATTTATATTTTGATTTAAGATTTTTTTTAATTCTCAATTCAATCGTATTAAAAGGTTTAGATTCCTACACAAAATAATATATATATATATATATATATAGTGTGGATTGCGACAGGATAAGGAATTTAGAAGCAAGAATTTAGAATCGTTTGGACAAATGAAGAAATTTATTGAAAACAGAAATCCAGGGTGAGTTGGATGTAGTTTGGAGACAAGAACACGTCGTCCTACTTTCATTTGGTGACTCGAGCACGTAGAAAGAGAAATTTTATCTCAGGACTATTTGCACCAGATGGTTCGTGGATGACGGAGGAAGATGAAAAGGTCGTAGTTGCTACTGACTTCTACTCCTCATTATTTACTACTGATGGGACGGACGCCCAATTTGTTAGAGAACAGGTTCAGAATTTGCCGATTGAGGAGAAAGTGACTGCTACAATGAATGCTAAGCTATCAACAAAGATCTCACCGGCATAAATCTGTACGGCTGTCTTTCAGGTTGGGGCTACTCGGGCTCTTGGCTCAGATAGCTTTACTGGGGTCTTCTTCAGAAAGTTTTGGGATATAGTTGGTATGGATGTTACAGAGGCGGTGACTCACTTCTTTGAGACTCGGAGCATATTGAATAATTTGAACAATACTTGACTGGCCTTAATTCCTAAAGTAGATAATGTTGAACATATGAAGCAACTTGGACCGATTAGTCTCGGTCAGTTTATGTACAAGGTGATATCGAGAATCTTGGTGGAAAGGCTATCTCACTACCTTCCTGTCATTGTTTCTCCTAGCCAAAATGCATTTGTGCGTGGGAGACAAATTGTTGATAACGTCCTCATTGGTCACGAAGTCATGCATTATCGCGGAATAAGCAGGAAGGAAAACAATTAGATGCAGCTTTTGGTTGAAGTTTTTGCATTATCTGCGGTAATTTTTGTAGAAGCAGCTTCTAACTGTAGCTTTTGAAGTGTTTTTCAAAAAAAGTAGTTGAGTGTTTGGCTAAAAAACTATTAGAAGTGCTTTTTAATATAAGAGGTTATATAAAATGACTATAAAGGATTTATAATATAAAATATGAATAAAAACTCTAAATAATAAAAAGTAGTCAATGTGGATCTTCTAAAATAAAATGACATTAAGTAATATGATATTTTATTTTATTTTTAAATGGCATTAATGAAAGAAAATTATATTTCTAAAATAAAATTAAAATATGGTAAGGATAATCTTGTATTTTCAAAACAACTTTTCGCAGAAGCTCCAAATCGGAGCTTCTGCTTTTATATTACACAAAAGCACTTTTCGGCTTTTTAAAAACCGAGCTTTTAGAGGTGTTTGGCCCTGCCTCATCTTTTCAACCCGAAAAGCACTTCTAAAAGCAGGGCCAAACATAGACATAGTACACTAGAATTGGAGATTTTTCCAGAAATAGCACTGTTTAAAAAAAAAATTCAAAAAATAGCACCAAACTCCGAAAAATTCCAAAAATAGCACCATTTTTTTTAAACCGCCACCCGGAGGTGCGTTTTTCGATGAAAACGCCACCCGAGTGCGCGTTTTTAGATGAAAACCGCACCGGTAGGGAGCGGTTTTGCAAACCGCACCTCCAGGGTGCGTTCTGCCTTTTTTTTTTTTTGCAAACCGCACCCCCAGGGTGCGATCTGCTTTATTTATTTATTTTTTTTTTGAAAAATCCTAACTTAGGTGGAAACTTCAAACAAACGTATCTTTATGTTCGGGTATCCGATCGCCGCTATTTTGTTTTTTGATTCCGCATAACTTTTTGAGATCTTGCAAGCCGAAGACTGCCAAAGGTGGTTTGGTCTCGCCTTCGAACCAAAAAATGTCGTTTGCTACCCCGAACGAGCATTTTTTTGATTTCGTCAAACTTTGAACGACCATAACTTTGTGCTCCACAATCCGAAAATCATGATTTTTTTTTTTTGATTTTGCATAACTTTTTTAGGACTAAAATTTTTATCATAGACATAATTTCGGAATGTACTTGGATTCCTAAAAAGAAAGGTAAACTTATTCCCAAAACCCCGTATATCCAAAATAATTAATTTTTTGAAAATTCTCTCCTAGAAAAAATTGTAGTCCTCAAAACGTTATGCAAAATAAAAAAAAAGTTCATGATTTTCAGATTGTGGAGCACAAAGTTATGGTCGTTCAAAGTTTGACGAAATCGAAAAAAGGCTCGTTCGGGGTAGCAAATGACGTTTTTTCGGGACGAAGGCGGGACCAAACCGCCTTCAGCCGTTTGCGCCTTGCAAGATTTCGAAAAATTATGCGGAATAAAAAAAAAATCGCGACGATCGGATACCCGAACATAAAGATACGTTCGTTTGAAGTTTCCACCTAAGTTAGGATTTTTCAAAAAAAAAAAAAAAAAAAAAGCAGATCGCACCCTGGGGGTGCGGTTTGCAAAAAAAAAAAAGGCAGATCGCACCCTGGGGGTGCGGTTTGCAAAACCGCTCCCTACCAGTGCGGTTTTCATCGAAAAACGCGCCCTCGGGTGGCGTTTTCATCGAAAAACGCACCTCCGGGTTGCGGTTTTACAAAAATGGTGCTATTTTTGGAATTTTTCGGAGTTGGGTGCTAGTTTTGGAATTTTTTTTTTAAACAGTGCTATTTCTGGAAAAATCTCCTAGAATTGGGAGTGAAGTGATCTAATGGTCATTAATGCGAAAGATAGTTTTTTCATAATTTGATTTTAAAAACAACTTTGATTTTGTGTTGCCGGTTCCATTCTAAGTTGTGTGTTCTCTTTCTCTTTCCTTATACGAGTAAAACATTCATATTTTCATTTGATTGTATTTCATATTTCCTTCCTCCCGATTAGGCTTCTATAAATTTTTTGGATTTGGTGGATCTTCGCGTTTAAAGAAAGCCTTGCCTTTGTGAAAGTCTTCTGAGGAACGATTTCCCCTCGAGATTTCGAGATATAACAAAGTAGTCTATGTTTTTTCTTTGAGTTTCTTCTTTTGCATTTGGAGTAGAGGTAAAGTCTTCATCGTAAAGTCTTCATATAGGAAAAAAGTATACACGATAATTTTTTTTTAGCTTTATCAATCATATGTGATACAATCTTATATTTGGAAGATTTTGGTTGTAAATTAAATACTTTAGTAGTTGAAACTATTAGGAATATCAATCTCTATGTACCAAAAAATTATTCATTATTTAGTTAGTCGTTCTCTTTCAAATAGTGTTCTTTGTCGAGAACCGTTTAGTATTGATAACTCGAGTTGTTGGGAGGTTTAATAATGAATCTAATACCAAGCAATTATTCATGATTTAATTAGTCATTCACTTCAAATGATGTTGTTTATCAAAATTGTTTAGTATCAAGAACCCCAGTTATTGGGAAGGTTCAATAATATATCTAATACCATTTACAATATACCTCTCATAAGAAAGTTAACTTATATAGAATTGAAGTTTGTACAAATCTGAATATTATGTATTTAATAAATATAGTTGCCAAGATTCGAATATAAGACTTATCGATCAACTATTCTCAATTAGACGCACCCTAATATTCTACAATCAATTAACTATTGTAGTAATTAAACTATTTTGCTCCCGAGCCAGGGTCGGTCCCGAGACCCATCCTCTAACACTCTCCTTTCGCCCATGGTTCCTAGTAGTTTCATTTGTTATCATAATCGGTTTTGATTTATGTTTTTGGAATTCATGTTCTATATTTTGTCATTGCATTATTTAAATGTGTTAGTTATTTTCATTTTTGTTGTATTGTAAATGGATGGGTTATACGCTAAATTTACATATTCAAAGTGGAGTTGTTACATATTCAAAGTGCAGTTGTTGATTTGGATGCATGAGCATCTTTGAGTTGTGTTGAAACTTGCAAGGCATTGATTTTTTCTAATGATTGTAATATTAATGGTGGTGCGATTGTGATATTAGGGGTGAATCATTGTGATACTATGTTAATATGACTATGACATTATATTCACATGAATGGTATGATTGGGATATTACGTTGATATGATTATGATATTGTTTTATAATATGATTGTGATATTATGCTCGCATGATTCTGATATTGTTTTATGGAATTATTGTGATATTATGCTCGTATGAGTCTGATATTGTTTTTTGATTGATTATGATATTATGCTCGTATGATTCTAATATTGTTTTGTGGTATGATTGTGGTATTATGGTGGTATGGTTGTTTTTTCCTCTTTTTCACAAGTTATATCATTAGGGGTAAGGTAATAATATTTTGATCTACGAGTTAGAGTCGTGGCTATCACCTTCTTGCGATTTGGGTAGGTAATCTCGCAGGAGGTGCTGTCACAAATAATCACATGGAAATGGGAGTTGCCATTGTATTTGAATACCAGGACGTACTCTTCGGTGACGATAGAGTAAAAATGGAGGATGTCCTCAAATCTAGAGTCGAGCCACGCCCTGATTTCATTTTTTGGCTCTCTGGTCAACCCAACCTTCCAAACTATGTCGTTTGGTGCTTCCAATTGCACCTCATGAAAAATTCTTCTTTGAAAGTATTGCGAACTTATTAGGAAGAAATGCTTCTAGACGTATCACCTTGAAGAAATGCTAAAAGACAAAAGGTTCTCGTTATAACTCCGGCGAAGTTCTCACCGTTAAGAACAATTTTCCTAGATGATATCTTTTTCCCAGAAGTAGAAATGTTAGCAGAAGAATGGAAAGAATGGAAGAAGAAAGGAGGATAAGTTTGATGAGAGCTTTTTTGGTTAAAAAGGAAGGAAGCTTTACTCTTTTCTTCCTTTTTCCCTCTTCTCGTCGTTTTTAAGGGACTTTAGAGTTCTTCAGTGTTCTGAAGTCTTCAGAGAGAGAAGATTAGACCTTTGGCATTAATTTGGCCAAGT